TTCGTCCAGAAAGAGTATCACCATGGGAATTGGAGCCACTTGTTGCGGCTAATGCCCCTTCGAACTCCCAACCTGTACAAAGGAATAAACGGGCCCGACCTCCTGTTTTACCTTCTCCAGCATCGGATCTTTCTGCACTCGGTGTGATGTTATTTTTGTCTTGTATTTCTGAAGCAACTCATATTATCTTTACTCATATACTTCTTAACATTGTGCTTTAGGTATGTGGAAATCCTCAATTGAATCTCCTGCTTTCTCATATTCTGACTCTCAGCGTGTGGGGGACCGATATTCATCACCTAAGTTCTCTTCTGCTGCAAAGGCCAACTCTTTTTGCTTCAGTGGGAATGGTTCACCAGCTGCAGTTTCCAGCAACTCAATGCAGTGGCCTAACAGAGTGGATGGTGCACTTGAATCTTTTTCACCAGTCATAAACAAAGAGTCTGTTGAAGGGAAACAGGGCAATGGGAATGGCTATAGGCTCTTTGGGATTCAACTAGTTGACAATGCTAACGTAGGAGAGTCATCACCTGTGGTTACGGTATCAGGAATAATGGGAGAAGATCGATATGTAGATGCTGACTCTGATCAGCATTCAGAACCCTCAAATATTAATCGTTCTGATATTCCCTCAGTCAGTTGTGATATTGAGAAATCAAGTTTAAGATCACCACAAGAGTCGCAAAGCAGACAGATACGTAGCTGCACAAAGGTCTATGCAGTGCTTTTCCATAATTTTCTTTCTTCACCAAGTTATGTTTTTTAATTGTTTTAAAAGCGTTAATAGATTGAAGTTCTTCTAATATAGATGCTTCTGAATATTAACACTAGATGCTTAGTGCTTCATTTGCAGTGTTCTTATTTCATTTTCAAATTCTGAGAAATCAACATGATATGTCATTGTTCGGAGTCTTTTCTTTCAGTTATTTGAGCTTTTCTTGAAAGAAATATTTTGTGCACTTTCACACTTGGTAAATTTAGGAATCTTAATTCTGGCATGATTAAGAATAAACGGTGCCTTTTTGACAATATGATGCATTTCAGCATATGAGCTTCATATTTGTAGGGCTTAGCAGGCTTTTTGTTTTTGGGTTTTAGCAAGTTGATGTTGCTGGGAAAAGATTGAGAATGCTGAAAAAGAATTTGCTCCTCCTTTTAGGTGCACATGCAAGGCATTGCTGTTGGACGAGCTGTTGATTTGACACGTTTTGACTGCTATGATGACCTTTCTCAAGAAGCTGGAAGAAATGTTTGACATTGAAGGGGAACTCTCTGGTTCCATGAAAAAATGGAAGGTTGTTTACACTGATGATGAAGACGACATGATGATGGTCGGGGATGAACCATGGCAGTAAGTTCATTTCACTAGGTTCTTCGTCTTGTTTTATTATTCAATTTTGCTTTTACTCCTATCTGTTGTGGTCTCTATCTAATTACACACTGACACACTTTTTCAGTATAGCTTGTCTTTTTGTTGGATACATTGCTTAGATACTCTTCTTAGGTGTCCCTTGTACAATGGTATATCAGCTTTGAGTGCTCAAGACTCTAGTAGATTGAAGATTGAGAATTGTGTTTTTTTTTATTTTCTGCAGTGAATTTTGCAGCATTGTAAGAAAAATTTATATCTATACATCTGAGGAAGTTAAGAAGTTATCACCCAAGACTAAATTTCTGGTCAATGAGGAGGTGAAACCTGTGAAGCTTGACACTGATGTGGCTGTCAACACTGAGGACCGTTCATCTATAGTTGGTTCTGGGTGCTAATATATGAGCATTCCTGTCCAAGCTTATGGGAAGTAAGTCATGCAAGAGGTCAAAAGAAAGGGAACACACGATATGGGATTTTGTTTGTAGTAAGATTCTGACGGACAGATTGTAGCTGCTGTTTACCTCACACAACTTTATAGATCCTATTTAGGTGGAATATGGTATTTAGTGAAAAACATTTCATCAGGAAAGAGTGAGACTTGCCTTATAAAAGACTTTGGGTGTTGCAGTTTTACTATTTTGTCTCGGCAAGGGAATGCTTAGTGTTGGTTCAAGTTTTGGGTAAAGATTAAAAACTTGTCAGCTCTACCTTCCTTGCGTGATATTAATCAAGGTCGATATGCTCATCATTCTCAAGTTGTTTTTTTTTTTTGTTCATTTTAATTTTTTCTACGAATGGGTCAGATGAGATGATACATTTGGCTTCTGTATATAAAGAATATATACCTTTCATCTCTTTTGCTTTTCACTACATGAATGTTTGACTTGTAAGAAGCTTCTCTTGAAGGAGACTATTGAAGCAGCTAGACTCTTTGATTTTACCTTATTTCAGCTTATTCTTCTATTTATCCGAAAACATGTTCAAGTTGTATTGTTTTTTTTTTTTCGAGATTTCTCATAATTTTTAATGTGATTGTTTCTCATTGAATATTTTATTACGATATGAATTAAAATATAACGAGTGATAATGACTGCTATTAATGAACACTAATAAAGTATGTTGGATTTATTAGGGTAATTCACAAATTAGAATTTTAAATATAATAAGTCAATGTAGAGTATGTAAGTTAGCATTTTGAGGAATTACTGAATAAGAGATAATACAATATAAAATTTAATTTTGTATTATAAATATTGATATTTTTTTCTGATAAAAAACATAAGAAATTGGAAAAGGCAGTAAAATATTTCTATTAAATACTAATGCTATTTAATTTGTTGTTTTAAATTTAATTTTTAAGTATTATTTGTGATATTTTCTCAAAATTATATACTCTTTATTAATTAAATTATTTAATTAATTTATAAAATTAAAACAATCTTCTTATTATATAAAATTATTATAAAATTTTTAATTTTAATAAATTTAAAAAAATTAAAATTCATTTAGTTAAATAAAGTAAATTTAATAATTTAATTAATTATTAAAGATAAATATATAAGATATTTTATTATTAAGTCGTATAATCTTCTTATTATTTTTATGTATTTTTTGTATTATTAATTTGTTTTTTTATACACTATTATTTTGCTTGAAAATTATAATCATAATTATAATTAAATTAATTTGGACATAATCAATTGTGGAGACAATTTTAATTTAATAGCCCAGTTTTTTCCAACCCATAACCTGAAACGACAGCGTTTTGGAATAGGTTATTGGCGGGAAGGGGGAGGGTTTTAAGGGAATTTAGAAAGGTTTAGGGGCAATATTGGAAATACCGCTGTTCCCAACGGTCTTCTTCTCTCTATATATATAGCACCGACCACTCCATTCTTCTCTACTCAGCTTTCAGACAGATCACATTCCTTCTTCCCTTTCCTCCCGATTCTCTCTGTTCATTGGAAGCGTTTCGTTTCCTTCCGATTTCTCTCAAATTCAATCGACTGCTTCGACTTTGCTTCTCCGCTCGCTTCTTTGGTAAGGATCTCCACTGCCGCTTTCTTTTTTTTTTTTTTCCATTAAAGATTCATATTGCAAATCTTCTTCTTTAATTTTTTCAAAGAACTCTTTAATGTTTGTGGTTCTCTTAATATTCGTGATTCTTTTACGAGATAAAACATAAAATCATGTTCTCTGAGTCAGATCTGGAATCCACCGTAACACTCATTTAGGGAAAAGTCACCAAAATCTAAGATCCGTGTAACCCTTTTTCGGTAACAAACGACCAATAAAAAATATTAAAAAAGAAACCCAGAAAATCCTCTGTGAAAATAAAAAAACGAAAAGAGATCAAAACCCTAGATCTGGAAATAAGAATGATTACTTCTCCCTGGCTTTTCTGTAATTAGGTTGTGTGGAGTTTTGCATTTGAGAATCTTGAAATGAATCTGTAAAATGCAATCTTTATAATGTTATTAAGGTTTGAGCTCACCATTACAACGTAATGGCCTCAAACCCCATGGGGGAGTCCTAATCATAATGTATCTTTGTTTTTTAACTGGGTACAAATTGCAATGGTGCTGGTTCTGCTATTTGGGGTTTGAGGACTAATGGATTGTATTATTACGGGTTCTCTGCGTATTATTATGTTTGTTATTTCAATTATTCGGGGCTTATAGTTGAAATTCCAATGTATATTATTTTTATTGGATGAGAAGCTTATTGGGTTCTATTATTATTATATATATTATATATTTTTTCAATTAGTTGTACTCAAATTATGGGTTTTGGATCTTGTGGTTGTATTTCATATTACAATATGTATGTAATATTTGTAGGTGTCAAGTCTGTTTATTTATCTTATAATATTGTTATTAAGTTTTGTAATATTTTTTACAGGTTGTATATAATATTTATAAGTTTTGAGCCTATTGGATTGTATTTTTATTATTTTCGTCATGATATTACCCACATTATTGTATTTGAATAATGGATTTCGGATCATTTGGTTGTATTCCGTATTACAATATAAATGTAATATTCATAGGTATCAAGCCTATTGAATTATTTTAATATTGTTACGAAGTTTTGTTATATTTTTACGGTTGTATGTAATAGTTATAAATTTCGAGCCTATTTCGTGTAATATTATTATTATCACGATGATATGACACACAATATTGATTTTGAATTATGGGTTTCAAATATTTTAGTTTCATTCAACAATATAATGAATGTAACGAAGCCCATTGACTTGTATTTTTTGTCTATATAATTAAACTATATTCTTATTATTATGAAGTTTATTAACTTTTATGGGTTTTATAAGTTGCTAAACTCAGTTGTATTATTATTATTATTAACGAGCACAAATTATAATTTGATTTTAACTAAGTTGAAGTGTATGTTATTTGTATTGACATGGAGCCGAATGGGATTGTAATAATATTTTTGCGATGAATTTCATTATTGTTATTATTTGTGATGTATTATTGAGGGTTGAACCGAATTGTAATGCATATTATATTTTTTTGATGTGTTTGTAAAATTTAGTTGCATCTAAAATTGTATTGACCGACAACAAAGTTTAATCTTCAAATTTTAACAAGCAAATAAGATTAAATTAAAACATTATAATATTAAAAATGTTATACTAAGACATTATCAATTTACTTCTTCAATTTGATGGTAAATAAGACTTAAATTGAAATAAAAAATAAACTGAATTTTGTTGGTGAACATAATTTCTTAGTTTGTAAATAAGAATGTTAATTATTTGACATACAAGTATATTTATACAGTATATTGTGCTATATCCAGTAATTATAATGTATAATATTTGTGTAAAACAATTATCGTGTATTGGTTTGCTAGAAAATAGTAATATAATGAATTGTATTCTCAATTACAATGAGTATTTTTTTAGTGAGATGAAAGTTGACGTATTGTAATATTTTTATCAGAAAGTTTCACCTACAATTCGATCAGAAAAAATGAGTGCAACTACTTGCAGTTCAGTGAAAAAAAGAAAAATTCCAATGCAAAAACGTGAAACAAAAGAGCAGAGAGCTGTTACATTCAGTAAAAGACGAACGGGTCTGTTTAACAAAGCAGCAGAATTGTGTGTTCTCTGCAATACTCAGGTTGTAATTTTGGTTTCTGCTCCTTTGGCCAAAGAAAAGTTTTATACTTTTGCACACCCTAACATCAATCTTCTTCTCGACACATTCCTCAATAACCATGTCTCTCATCCCATCAACAATTACAATAATCTTTCTACTTCTTCGTCTCATCAAACTATGGAGCAATTAACTCCTAACAATAATGTGTCCAAGACCAAGAAGAGAAAGAGAGAGTCTGAAGAGTTTTGGTGGGAAAATGAAGACTTTGATGTTTACCAAACACCTGAAGAGGTGACATCAATCATCGAGAAGTTAGAAAAGGTGAGAGAAAATGTGGCGCTCAAACTTCAAAAATTATCAACTTCTAATAATCAAGATATTAACAGTAGCGATCATCAAAACTATCATCTTGGGTGCTTTGCTGAAGATATAATGAACATTAATAATGAGTACAGTAAAGAGAGTGGTGATCAAAGTCAGTTTATGACATCCGTTGTGTTTCAGAATTTATCAACTTCTACTTATCATGGTAGTTGCATTGATCAAAATATAGTGGACATTGATGGATTCAAGAACAATGTTGATTTTATGCAAATGTTGCCTCTAAAATCTACTATGCTTACACACAATACCAACAATGGCAGCCAAGATATTGAGAATTATCACAATGATATGGGTACTACATTTGAAGCCCCATTATTCTTCTCTAATGGCGTCGAAAATTATCAAGATATTAGTAGTGGTGATCATCAAAACTATCATCTTGGGTGCTTTGCTGAAAATATAATGAATATTAATCATGAGTACAATAATGAAAGTGGCGATCAGAGTCAGTTTATGCCATCTGTTGTGTTTCAAAATTTATCAACTTCTACTTATCAAGATGGTTGCATTGATCAAAATATGGTGAACGTTGATGGAAACAAGAACAATGTTGCTTTTATGCAGATGTTGCCTCTAAACTCTACTATGTTTACACACAATACCAACAATGACACCCAAGATATTGAGAACTATCACTATGATATGGGTACTACATTTGAACCCCCATTATTCTTCTCTAATGGTGTCGAAAATTATCAAGATATTAGTAATGATCATCAAAACTATCATCTTGGTTGCTTTGCTGAAAATATAATGAATATTGATCATGAGTACAATGATGAGAGTGGTGATCAAAGTCAGTTTATGTCATCTGTTGTGTTTCAAAATTTATCAACTTCTACTTATCATGGTAGTTGCATTGATCAAAATATAGTGGACATTGATGGATTCAAGAACAATGTTGATTTTATGCAAATGTTGCCTCTAAAATCTACTATGCTTACACACAATACCAACAATGGCAGCCAAGATATTCAGAATTATCACAATGATATGGGTACTACATTTGAAGCCCCATTATTCTTCTCTAATGGCGTCGAAAATTATCAAGATATTAGTAGTGGTGATCATCAAAACTATCATCTTGGGTGCTTTGCCGAAAATATAATGAATATTAATCATGAGTACAATAATGAAAGTGGCGATCAGAGTCAGTTTATGCCATCTGTTGTGTTTCAAAATTTATCAACTTCTACTTATCAAGATGGTTGCATTGATCAAAATATGGTGAACGTTGATGGAAACAAGAACAATGTTGCTTTTATGCAGATGTTGCCTCTAAACTCTACTATGTTTACAGACAATACCAACAATGGCACCCAAGATATTGAGAACTATCACTATGATATGGGTACTACATTTGAACCCCCATTATTTTTCTCTAATGGCATCGAGAGATGTGCTACGTCTCTTTGTATTGGTGATCAAAATTTTAGTTGGATGAATGATAAGATCACTACTTCATACAGTCAAAATGAACAATTTTCACCGTCCTTCTCCTCCAATGACTTGGATCACCATATCAATACTTCTTTTGAATGGGAGTTCAGAGATGAGAATCCTTCATTTCTTCAAGATAATGCTACTGGATTAGTTCCACTATTTTCTCATAGTGATAAAAGCATAGACAAGCAGAATTTGTCTGAATCAAATTTTAAAGATAATAATTTTTCAGTTACTGGAGCAACAACTGACAATGACTTGTTTCTTGGTGACGACTATGTTAATTCTTCAACAATGGAGGATAACACTGAATTTTTTTCATTGTTGGAATATTTCTTTTCTAGTTGATTGTAAGCTTTCTCTGTATTTCCTTTGCAGTGTAATAAAATGTTCTTGTGGTCTCTCAACTTTTTCTTTGGCATATTGATCATAATATAATTCTTATCATCCACTAAATGATGAAGTAAATATGTACGGAATCAATATTTATAGTCATCAACTATGAGATTAAAAAAAAAATTCATACAAATATTTTATACTAAAACAATCAACTGCAAACTTAAAAATCTCCCAAATTAACTTGAATTAAGAGTTTATTTTATTTTACATTTTAAATTAAATAGATCTTATTATTTGGGTTCTTAATTAGTTTTAAGTTTTTAATTAATTATTTTTTAAAAAATATTTTTTTAAAAAATTTATTTATTATAATATAATTTCATAATATAAGGATATCGGCATTTTATTTTTTTAAAAAAAGAATATCAGCATTTATAATCACTATCATTTTTTATTTCTTTTTTCAGTTGAGGAAACAAAAAATAAATATTAGAATATATTCAAAAATTA